ACTGCCTGCTCAGGCACGTGTGAACCTCACAGGCTCCAAAGGTTAAAAATCATGCACATGCCCAGCCTCTTCTTGGAGATTCTGAATTGGAAGTTTAGAAGTAGGGTTCAGGCACCCCAAATTTTCACCAAATCTTGTAGGGTCTGTCTGTTTTCCTTCATGAGAAGGCAGTCATTGTCGCTAGCTGAGTCCAGACCACCTAGCGGAAGTCTAAACTCACTGCCTCTAGGAATGCATCTAAACTTAGTCTCTGAAGCAAATGGAAGTTGGCTTGGGAAGAAGGCAGAAGCCACTCCAGTGGAAGCGCTCCCTTTCTGCCCTCTGGTGCCCTCTGAAGCTGCAGGTAGTCCTGGGTGAGGAGCCCCCGCCCCCCCCCCCCCCCCACTCATGGCAGGAGCTAAGAGTGCACTGAGCCTGTCTCTTGGCTAACACCACACTGATGGTTCCCAGATCCCCAACCTGTCCAGCACAAAGATAAACTAAGGTCAGCCTTGCAGGAAAACCTCTGGCAATATAATTTTATTGTGTTCCATATATTCTTTGGCATTTGTTAATCTTTGTACTGGGCTGCTGTCCGCCGGATGATCCTACTCCTTCTGTGGTGTGGCCGCCTGTCAAAACTAAAGCTGTTCAAGTAATCTGAGTTCTAAGCGTTCATGCCCCCTGCCCTAACCCTGTTCATCCTACGAATCTATTTCTCACCTGCTTTCCCAGAGTAATACATTGCTTTATGACATTTTCTTTTTTAAAAAAAAAAATTGAATTTAATATATTACCATGGTACTAGATTTTCATTTTTTCTTAATAGGTATTTTATTCCTAGGGCGCATCTTCCAAGAGTTTGAGCTACAGTCTGTTAATGTTTTGTCTGCTTTTGTGGCGAGTTATATAAACAGTTAATTGCTTGCATGTTAATTTGAATGTCACACAGAGGCATGGGTGATATGAAACTAGATCCAGGCAAAGTTGACTGGTGTCTTCTACCAAAACAGGAAGACCAGGCACAACCCTGACTGGAGGAGCAGACACTGAAACCAAAACTAGTTAGTATCAGACTTCCCGATCATGAAGATCAGCACACAGGCAGCAGGGGCTTCTCAGGAGCTGAATGTGTAGAGTGTTCTTCCTTCCTTTTTCACCCACAGTCCTGTTTTCCCCACCACAGATCTGTTCCTTCGCACGCACCCCTGCATTTTCTGTCTCTCCTCAGTGAAAACTCGGTACTAAGGCTGTGCCTAACTCAGGACCTGCTGCTGTGTTAGCACCCCCTCCCCCAATGATGAAACCTTCACTATGTCCACACCTAATCCTTCTGTGTCTGAAACCTTGGGGAGATTCTGGGTAGCTCCCCTCTAGGGACACATATACTCTGGGTGGTCTTTTTTAAAATCCCATATTCTCTGTAATGATTGCCTAGCGGTGCAGGGTTGCTTTTAAATTCCTTTTAAAATTGTCGAGACAGCCAGGGGCTGCTCACTGCTAGGGTAGTCAGCCTCTGCTAAAAAAGCCAAGGTTCAGAAACTGGCTGACGATACAACTATGTAACAAAATATTTGAGAAAAGTGCTTGAGTTGGTTTTAATAAGTGGAAATGACACACCATCTTGGGTCTCCAGGGCCACTGTTCCTGTTTGACAGTGTGAGCTCATCAGTGGCTGGAACCGAAAGAGATTTTGGAAAAGAGCAGTGTTGATGCGTGAGCCATTCGCTCCTTTTGGTAATTTGTGCCGCTATTTACAAAAGGCAGTTCTGCGAGCCCAAATACGCGCGAGAGGAGCAGCAGCGAGGAGTTTCTTTCTCCACATTAAGTGTTAGCGTTGCCTTAAATGAAAACAGCGGGATTTTTTTTTTAATATAGCTTGCAAAGCTTCCCCTTCATTCTTTAGGGAATTTCCTATGTTAATTTATGCAGTGTTAATTTATGCAGTGTTGAAATTCAACCCAACAGCATCTAGATATAGATGATGCAGAGATGGGACAGCCTGAGAGGTGCAGTGTAGACCTGTCAGTCCTGGGACTCCCTCCAACCACCGCCCTGACTACTCCAGCCTACAGCAGGTCTCCTTGCATAGCTCTGATAGAGTAATAACACAGAATGCTTATCAGTTTATTCATCTTGTTAAAACCCCAACTTGCTGTTGTATTTGTTAATGTCTGACAGCAGTAGAGTGGTTTTGTACCTCCTCTGCCACCCTTTGGTAGCAGCAGGCTAGTGGACCAGCCCCTCAGCTTTCCTCCGCACCCCCATGTCTCCAGAGTGAGCCATTGCACTCTCTCAGAGGGACTGGGAGTTTAAGCCATGTGGCAGGATGTGTGGTGACTGAGCACAGTGTGCTCTCTGTCTGTGGCCTTGTATCCTAATGGTGTCTGATCCCCATTTTAGCCAGGGCCCAGCTTGTCTTTCTTCAGGGAAGTCTAGCATTGCTGGCAGTCAACAGAAAATTACTCTTCTATAATTGCTCAGGGTTGAAGAGGGAAAAATGGCTAAAAGGATCTCTAGCCCTCAGAGAACCCGTTAACTGTGACTTTTTTTGTGTTGCACTAGCTGCAGATTGTGTCAAAACACTGAAAAGACGCATATTGTCACCTGGCTCTGCAGGGAGAAGGAGAGCCATGTGATCCATATCAGGCAGATGGCACAAGGCTTAAGCTTCCCCTTGGTGAATTCAAAAATATATGGGGCCCATGACCCCCAGTGCAGAATGGCCGTAGAGTACCACTCAGTGGGGGCGCTCTCTCTAGTAACCAGAAACCCTAAGTGGGCTCAATATAGATGTGCTTCAGGCTGGCTTCCATGGAGCATGCAGTAAAGAACTGGGCAATGAGGTTGTCTGTATGTTGGGCATTTACAGAGCACCCACCTGTGTAGTTGGAGAGACTTTCACAGATAAGTCACAAAGAGGTGAGCCTAGAAGAAATGCTAAGACCCTGTGACAGTGGCAGACAGTGTTGGGTGCACAGTTGGATTTATATTTTGCCCGCAAACCCAGTGCTGGTAGCAATGCACTCATGCCGTGTGCATTCTCCTGGCCCTTCCGTCATGTGTAGCTTTTGCTTCCTCCCCATTGTCCTTTATTTTCTCTGGACCTGTGCTTTCCTAACTTCCTGTTTGACTAAAGCAACATCTTTTCTTCCCATTCCTATATCTCTCATGAGTTTGCCTGCCTGTGGGTCAGTTCTTTAGTGCACCGTGTCCCCAGGCCACATAGGGCCCTCTAATCTCAGACCCAAGAATAATCAGACAATCATCTACCCTTTGCCCTTGTACTCCTTGTGCTCCATTTTCTTTACCCCTCCCCAGTCATCTTTGTCTTAAATCATTTGACCTTTCTTCCCGTCCCTGCAGCTTTTTTCCAAAAGTTCCTATAGGCATGCCTCATCCAAAATCAGCCCACAGGCTCAAAACAGAATTTATCTTTTTTGCTTTTTTGTTCACAGTGTCCCCTCCCACACTCTGCCACTAAGGGTACGCATGAACCTCTCCTCTCACCTCCCTCTTTTCTTCTCTGGGCTTCTTGTGCCTGTGTTTTCCTTTTCATACCCTTGCTTTTCATAGCCCAGTCTGCTAGGTCTTCGGACCTCCATACTCCCGTCTATTGAGTTCACTGTGCCAAGGATATCAGGCTCCATTTCATGATTGCCATTCTATTTTTAAAAAGCATTTGTTGGATAGCCAGACAAGTGTTTTCGGTGGCCAGCAGGAAGCCTGTCCACCTCATGTCCATCCTTACTTACCCTGCCTGACTCTTTTTTTTTTTTTTTTTTTTTTTTTTTTTTTTTTTTTTTTTTTTTAGTTTTTTGAGATAGGGTTTCTCTGTGGCTTTGGAGCTGTCCTGGAACTAGCTCTGTAGACCAGGCTGGTCTCGAACTCACAGAGATCCGCCTACCTCTGCCTCCCGAGTGCTGGGGTTAAAGGCGTGCGCCACCATCGCCCGGCTCTCCTGACTCTTAACTGCCCACTGCTGCACCCTATCTTCCGTACTCACTACCCAGGTTTTCTGTCTGTTTTCTGACTGTTGCGAGGGTTAATGCTCTCCTTCTTTGTTGCAGCTGCAGGGAACTGCCCTCCATGCCAGGCAGAACTTTTGAACTCTCACCTTCCCCAAATGCAGCCTGAACCAAAACCTCCTTGTATATGCTTCGTTCCTGTGCAATTTTTTTTTTACCATGTACATGTGTTTTGCTTAACAAACCTTAGCATGTATTTAGCAAATAAGTTAAAAGTAGCAAATTATTACCATGCTTAGTCTCTCATTTCCCAAGGGTACATGTATTAGCTTTCCTGTAGCTCTTAACTAATGCAGTGAGAACTCAGTAGCTGAGCTGGTAGGGAGTATGAGGACAGGAGGAAGAGGCAGCTGTAGGGTTAACCTGCCCTCTTCTGGGTGCCTTTAACCTAAGAGAAATGACTGCCTTTCCATCCTAAAGGTTCTCTAAGAGTGGGGGACATGCACCTCCTCCTGCACAGCTGGCTGTAGCTTCCGTTTGATGGTTCATATCTACAGCCCCCCTCCCATTACTTGGAAAGAGAGTACAGAGAGCACTTGGACAGCCTGGGAGACCTGGCTGTGTGCTCCTGGGTGTTGTCTGCCTTCTTCCCAGAGCCAGATGGTGTCTCTGAGCTTGGACTTGGGTTGTAGGTGAGAGTCTTCCTCAAGAGCTGTTGGGTTTAACTGCTGCACTGTGCCCCACCAACTTCACACTGCCCCAACAAATTTCCCCATCCCTTGTATTCTGTGTCCAGATGTCCCTCCCCACCCTCCTCCAGGCCACATGCCTCCCCAGACTGTTCTCAGATGCTGGTGGGTGGGTCGTTGGAGATTGAAGCTGGGGAGGGAGGGCACTGCTCAGAGGCAGTGGTGTTTTGAGAGGAGAAAGCATATGCTTTGCTTCATGGTTTGGATGCAGTATTTGAAAAGCACCATAATCACCCTAAATATTACTGCCATTTGCTTGCCCTTGCCTCTGAGAGTAAACTGACACTTTCTGTTTCTCTTGCAGAGCATGCTGGAGAAGGGAGGATAAAGTTACCCCCGAGAACATGCAACGCTCCTTCAACGTTAATTCCAGAGGTGGAACATTTTTTCTTTTCCTAGTAAGAAAATGACCCAATTAAAGAGAAGACCACTAAAGACAGACAGGCATTGGAAAATGGACTCGACAGAATCATAACGTGTTTTGATCAACAGTTTAAAAGGCCAACGTCTAGATCAAGGATCAGTCATCAAAGAACACTGTTAAGTGTTAATGAAACTCACAAATGAATAAAAGAGAAAGGCAGTCCACTGCACCTTTTTTTACTCTTTCCAACTCTTACTGACATAGAATGTTCTTTTCACTCCAGGCTCCACCATTTAGTGACCTCTACTCTGAGAAAGCTGGGAGGGGGGACGTTAAACTATTTCACATGGAGACACAGCAAGTACCCACTGGGCTGGAGCAGCAGTGTGGACTGGCCTGGGCTGTGGGGCCTAGGGTGTTCTTCTCCCATTATGTAAGAGCTACTTCATTGTAACATTGTGATCATGCGAGAAAGACAAAAAGGAGAGAAAATGTACCTCTTTTACTGGAATAATGTTTATGATTGCAAGTGAAATAAGGCATTTTTATCAATATAAAGCAAACCTTGGCTTATGCAACTTCTGTAGTGAAAACTGACAACTTCACTCACTATCAATAATAAATCTATTTTCTGACAAAGACTGGCATTCTTGCTAGGGCCCTGTGTGTTCCTTTGGCTGGGGTAGAAAGAAGGTTTGGGTGGTGAATTACAGGCTCGCATTGCTATTTATTTGCATTTGCTCTGCAGCTCCCTTCCAGTCTCCAGAGTTGGTAGCAGAGCCAGCCAGGCAGGTGACTCAGGAAGATTTTACAAATTGCATGAACCTTTCTTTCTTGGAGAAGACTTAGGTCTTTCTGCCTAGAGCCAGAAACAGCGGATAACCTTCAAAAGGGCCTTCCAGCCGTGCTGAGCCATGTATGGACTTAAACAATAGTGAACCGCTAGTTTTCCCGCTTTAGAACATCCCTATTATAACTGCATATAACCGGGGCTCCAGTCTTGGATCTGAGTGGCGCCTCTCAGGAGGTAGGAGGAAATGACTGTGCTCTGTGATGTCACCTTTTGTCCTGTAGAATTTTGCGAGTTCATACCCAGGGCCTAGAGAGACGGCTCAGAGGTTAAGGGTACTTGCTCCTCTTGTAGAAGACCTGATTCAGTTCCCAGCATTCCATCTGCTGCCTCACAACTGTCTGTAACTCGTTCCAGGGGATCTGATGCCCTTTTCTGGCCTCCATGTCCACTGTACTCACATATCCACAAACCTCCATCTGCACAAATACACAATGCATACATACATAAGATTGTACTCACATATCCACAATCTACATCTGCACAAATAGACAGTGCATACATACATAAGATTTAAGTTCTTCAGAAGAAAAATATACTCTGTAGTAAGGTGTGTCTGAGTTTGGCTTCTAGCTCTTCTGCCTGCCACCTGTGGAGGGGCCTTGCCTCCTCTCTACACCTGACTCTCTTAATGTGGAAAGGGACCCATGGGACCTAGTGTCCAAGCATGTGGTGAAGAGTTGGAACATTTACCACATTTTGTGAGACCTAGCAAATGCGGGCGTACATGCCTTCAGAAAAGTGGTGTTTGGAGCCCAACACTGTTCCTCTAAAGAAAGTCAGGGTGAGCACCCCTCGATGTGTGTGGCTTCTTGTGAGTGACATACCTCATCAGATGGGAACACACCTGGAGACCTGATGCTGATTCTGAGTGACAGTGGAGACCCTCCCTCTGTAATTACTGAGCAACCCTGTGATTGCCATCTGATGAAGGATCTGGGTTTCGGGTTCTTCTATTGGCTGGGTTGGTTTGTTTTAGCTTTTAATGATGCACAATCAGCTGGTTCACTTAAGTGTGACTGATGGAAGCATGTGTAATTCAAAGCACAGCACACTTGCACACTGTCAGGATGGCATCCAGGTAACCTTCTGGGAGAAATAATAGGTACACAGAAACAAATGTTTGCACAGTGGCTTGCTGTAGTGTTTGCAAATCAGCTAACTCGCAAATTCCCTCCTATACTGTTTTGTTTTGCAATTTGGAGCCAAGAACTTGGCACATCCCAGGTTGCCAGTCTTGTCGCTGGCAGGCGAAGGCAGCACTGAGGAGTCAGATGTTTGTATAAAGCTGGTAAGCCTAGGGGTTGGGTGGGTTGTCAGGCCATCTCTGGAACTGCCAGCTACTAACTTACCATTGTGGATATGTGTGGTGGCTGCAAGGGTGGGAAGGTGGCACTCAGAGGGCATCAGAGGGTGGGGGTGTCTTTTTCTAAATCTTTACAGACCTCTCTGTGTGTAGCTTCTTAGTTCTGGCTGGACCACCGTGACCTCTAGGACAAATGCTTGGAAAGAGCATCGTGACTTATCCGAGGCTCACGGAGTTCCTGTAAGTAGAACAGATCTCAGGCTACAGTGGTTTGGCTCATCAAGTCAAGAATAACGTGCCTAGAAAGATGCTTAGCTGGTACCACCCTCAACAAACCCCTGGTGAACTCACAGAAAATAGCTGGATGGAAGCTGCATGAGTCTTCTCTGAGAAGCCAGTGCTTAGCGAAGACAACATGGAATGGTTTAGAAATGATTGAGCTTTAATAACCCCATGTGTTGCGTCTAGCCTTCAGTCAGCTGATGAGACCCCTCTACAGCAGTCCTAAGCAATATTTGACCTAGACCTGAGCGAGCAGTCACGTGATTTAGAATGAGGGTGAGGGCATTGTTCTTTGAATGCTAACATTCATCTTAAGGTCTAATTGCCTGTGCCAGATTCCTACGTGCCAGGAGCCATAAGAGTAGACCCTGGAGGAGTAAGTTCAATAGACCCATTACGTAACAGGAGTTATGCCTAATAACTCTGAGCTAGAATCATGGAAAACAAAAAGATGAGAGCAGCTATCAGCTCAAAAGGGCAGCAACAGCTGACTCACTCAGACTGAGTGAGTTGAAAATTAGGAGTCTTGGCTTTGTATCCTGACCTGAAATCTGGAATAAACGGGTTGAAATTCACCCATAGGCCCTTCCCTCCTACCAAAGTCCCTCCACCTCCTTGCCGCCTCTCTGTCCTCCAAGCTCTTCTGTGTGTTCACGTTTCTCCCATCTCCTGAGGCTGGAACAGGTAGGTACACAGGACCTTGATGGTGCAGAGCTCCCCTCAATCTCACTGTGGAGTGACTCACTGTGGTCCTTTCCTTTGTCTTAGGATTTCTTTGTCTTCTGTTCTAGTCTCTAAATCGTCAGTTCTGTATGACTTCTCACTCTAGCAAATTTTTTATGCTTGCTGTAATTACTTTTAAATCAAGTAAATGGGACTATTTCCCTAAAGAAAGAATAAGGGCAAAAGATGCTTACTTGGCCAGGTATGCCCACCCTAGAATGTACAGGTTGTGCAACTAAACACATGGTCCAAACCACCCCAGAAACAAGACCATATCACAGGTCCTCTACCCACACCAGCAGTGTGGAGCTGCATGCCTATTGAAGAAACCATTCTACCAAAGGCAAACGCCCCACCAGGTCCTTAGGTCTCTTTGGTCTTATTTTCCCTTAACCATTTTACAGAAACCAGCAGTGAAACGGCATTTGGGGGAATACAGAAAAGGGATAAGGACTCAAGAATTCAGTTCACATCCTTAGAATGCCATACTGGTTTATTTATTTATTTATTTATTGACAGGTTCTTGTTGCAGCCCGGGCTGGCCTCAGACTCACTCTGTAACCAGAAATGACCTTGAAGTTCTTACCTCCCCACCTCTACCTGAGGTTACAGGCCTGGTGCAGCATGCCCAGTTTATTGCTGGGGATGCAGTCAACCCAGAGCTCTGTGCATGCTAGCTGTCACCCAGCCCACAACACTGGCTACAGAGAGAGTCTTAGTATCCAGAATCCCTTCCCTTTCCTAGCCTGCCTCTGGACACCTGGACAGGTGCTTCTCATCTGCAGTCCTTTGACTGTAACTCCGGAACGACAGAGCTGTTCAGTGGGAGGGGACCCCCAACACTCGCTGTGATGGGACTGTTTTCTAGCGCGCTCCAATTCCGTGCCTCAGTGGACTGGCTGAACTGATATCCATAAGCAAAGGTGGTTTTGCTGTCCCTGACCCGGGTGTGCGTCTGTTTCTTTGTTGCATGAGGCCCCTTTACCATAGGAGTTGTGTGTGGCCCCAGCATAGGCAACTTCCTATACCTTCCAGGGTCGCTGGGCCCTGTCTGGGTTTGGAAGAAAACTACCAGCAAATTCATTCTCTGTCCCGCTGAAGTTTGACACAGACAACAATTTATCTTCCATGTTGTGCTCTCCCCTCCACGGCCTCCAGCCTCAGTATTGCTGGAGAAACAGGAAATTGCTTTAGTGCAAAAAGAGAAGCAAAAAAATCAGACACGTCGAAGATCTCTCCTGCCTTTCCAGTCCCACGGTCCTCTCTCGACCGCGATAAAGTGCGTTTGTATTTTAGAGGGTAACATGGTGTCAAATCCCTGGTAGATTCCAGGAAATCTGAGCAGCGTAGTTGCTTTCAGTCAAGAACTTTGGAAATTAAAACTGTTCCGTTCAGCTCCCAAAACTCCCTCAAAGCAAGTCAACCCTAAATGGAAGTAGCTACACTGGGATTTAGTGAAGTGCTTGGAGCGTCTCACAGTGAGTTTGATTAGGCGAGGCCTGCACACTTCAAAGATTTCCCCTATGCAAGAAAATTTGACTTCTTCACCCCTCTGCCCACTCTTCACGCAGCCTTCTCTACTTCTCCTGGGAGGACCCATCCCAGCTGTGGTCATTCTGCTAAGAAGGCTGTGTGCTTTGAATCTAAACCTGCCTTCCGAGAAAATTACATTTCCATCATGGCTTTTAAATGCAAATTGCAAGCCAGAGGTCAGAGGTCCTTGCTAGGGACCACTCTACCCTAGCTGTGCCCCCCCACCACCGCCATGGCCCACATTTGAGGAACCTTATACAGGGTTCCTTCCCTGTCCAGCCTGCTGGGGGCTACTTTCAGTGCCCACAGCACGGATTGGGAGCCTATGCCCACCTGATCCTAGCCTCTCCCTGCTGATAGATAAAATCCAGGTCAAAGGCCAGGTGACTGTAGCCACCTGCTCATTACCACAGCCTGTGCCACCTAGGAGTCATGGGGGACATTTCTGCATCTCACAGCCCAGACCTCAATCTCAGCATCAAATCAGGATGCAGAGCACATATTCCTAGGGCTTTGCATCTCCTCCCAGAAGCGTGGTTGCCCACCATGCTAGTTTAATTCGAGAATCATGGTGCTCCCCCCCCCCTGCCTCCTTTGAGCTGCTGCTGTCTGCTGTGAAGCACCAAGTCTTGGGAAGGAACCTCACATACCACATGGACTCAAAGCAGTGTTAGTGGTTTGTGTCAAGGGGAGCTACACTGCAAAACTGGAAACCCGCTGGGCAGAGGGGAAGCGAAGTGTTGGCTAGCTGGTGGTGGGTTCGTTTTAAGTTGCCTCTGTGTTCTCAAAATGCTTTTTCAGCACCCACGTGTTAATTATGAACCTACAATAAAGGAGCACTCACTCTTCCCCACACTGAGGTGCTTTATGCAGAACCTGAGTCTATCGGTGCCTGATTGTGAACCTACAATAAAGGAGCACCCACTCCTCCCCACACTGAAGTACTTCATGTA